ACATTAGTGGTTCCTTCACACACAGCCCTGGAATGACGAAGTGATCTTTGGTTCTTCATCAGATTTCATAGTGGAATCGGGCAACAGTGTTTGATGCTGGGAAGCACATTTTATGAATTCTTCAGCTGGAGAACCCTGGTAGGACAAAGACTCCAGCTTGCATATCAGTGGTCTGCAATTTATAACAGACATCTTTACATCTTCTGTCTGGCCATGGACACGAGTGATTGCAGTTTTCTGCTGAGAATGGACAATCAGGGCTGGTGCTTGGATTTTTAGGTACATAGGCGAAGATGCATTTTTCCGCCCCCCTCCCCCCCCAAAAAAACATCTTCACCTATGTGCCTCTTAACCAGCCTCTCTCCCCTCCCCCACCATTAGTGGTCCCTTCCCTGTCCCTTAGTGTTCTTCTCCCCCCTCTTTTCCCTGTCTCTTGGTGTTTCTCTCCCATTCCCTCCCTGTCCCTTGGTGCACTCCACCCCCCTTTAGTGGTCACACTAAAGGAGCTTCAGTTTTCTGTACCCGGCCGGACTGACAGGGAGTGCTCTCTCTGTGAGCACCTCCTGTCAGTCTGGCCAGGTACAGGAAACAGAAGCTCCTGTACCGCGCTCTGCTCTGCTACACTCTGTACACACTCACAGTCACACACTCAATGACAAACACACAGACGTCACTGACAGACACAGACTCATTGATCTGTCACACACTCATTCATTGACACTGACAGACCCACACTGATTGACACTTATTGACAGACACACTGATAGTCACACACAGACTCAATGGCAAACACACTCTCACTGATTTGACAGACACACACTCATACACTCACATGCACACACACTCATGCAATCACACACAGACACACTCACACACACACTCAGTCACTCAGACACGCTGTCACTCACAGACACACACAGACGCACAGTCACTCACAGACACACACACAGACGCTCTGTCACTCACAGACACACACACAGAAGCTCTGTCATTCACACACACTGTCACTCACAGGCACACGCTCAGTCACGCAGACACACACACTCACTCACAGACACACATGCTCAGTCACTCACAGACACACACACACTCTGTCACTCACAGACACACATCACATACATTCACTAATTATTTTATAAATACACATTTTCCACCCAGCCTCCCTACCTGGAGAGCTGGTGTGGATGATGGATCGGTCCCTGGGGGCTGGGGGGGGCTGGGGTTGCTGGGAGGCGTGCGGCAGTGCTGTGATCAGGTGCGGCGAGGGAGCTCTAATCTCCACCCTCTGCTCCCTCGCGGGCTGCCTACTGATGCTGCGGGATGACGTCATAGTCCGGCTCCCGCGGCATCAGCAGACAGCGCGCGAGGGAGCAGAGCAGAGAGGTTAGAGCTCCCTCGCCGCGCCGGTTCACAGCACTGCTGCGCCGGGGGTCGAGATGGTGGCCTGGCAGGAGGGATTGCTTCCCTCCTGCCGGTCACTGAAATATTGCACCCCCAGAGCCCGTGCACCCTAAGGCGGCCGCCTGTGCCGCCTTATGGACGCGCCCGCCCTGTGGACAATATCTCTGTGGTGCAATGCAAAACAGACATTTACCGTTTTTGCTTCACACACCACATCTTACATTTTTGGTCACATTTGTTCTCATTAGAACTTCATATATTGACAGTGCATGTCCCATTCCGGCAGGATCTTGATGTCAGGATTTGTCTCATTTCCCGGCACAGAAATGATCTCATCTTGGGATGTTGATTTGGTTCTTTAATTTTTTTGCGTTCAGTTCCTGCTATCGCTCCAACTCATTCCATTTTCTCTGCAATCTCTTACCACTCCCACATTGTCACAATACCTCACGGTGCTGCGCGATCACATAAATGATTTATTCACTGAGTTCTGATGCACACCCAGGTGCCTTATTATAACCTCATATATGACTTGGAACCCTCCCACTGGTCTCCTTTTATACTGTTAGCCTATGTGTCACTTTTTGATGATGTATACTCACTTGTGATATCATGGCCCCCTGTAACCAATCACAACACAATATTTTTTAAATAAAACTCCTGGTTGTCCTTGTTTATTTGCCCAGTCCTGGTTCTTGTTACCTGAGAGTGTGTTTATACTGTGATTTGGATTTCTTGTTTTCTGACCTCGGCTTGTTTGACTATTCTTGCTTTCTGTTATCCTGACCTTGGCCTGTCTCTCATTTATTCAGTCTGCTTGCAGTCATTTCATTTATCTGTCTCAAGCACTAACTCTAAGGACGGGTACGTGTACCTTTACGGTTTCCTTTAGGATTGCATGTTAGTGAATCCCTTTTGCTGATACACATCTCCCTTTCTCCATCCATACTCCTCAATCCCATTCCAGCCTCCCCACTCACTCACAACATACTCAACTGCCCACACAACAATACTATTCACTCACAGGAACACACATATATTGTTCACACTAACCCAGACTTCACGCATTGCCATACATCACTAAAAGTTACCCAAACATATCAATCACAAATACTCACACATAGCTACTCACACAGCCACTCACACACACAGCCACCCCACATTTACACAAAACACAGTAACCCTTTCAATAAATATTCCCACTTGCACACCCTAATGAAATGTGGATAGGCAAACATTTATCCAATTATTTTTCAATCCACTTGAATTTAAGACTGAATTGGGCATGAAAAGCTAAACTAAAATCTATTTTTCACTCCAATTATCATTTCAGTTTCTCCAATTTAGAACCTGTTGTTGAGTTCCTTCTAACAGACTCTCTGGATATCTCTTTTCTGTAAACCATTTCTTCAAAAATTGTATTTGAGACTCATAATCCACATCAGTGGAACAGTAACTCATTCTCAAAAACTGTGCCTGAGTTTCCTATCATCATAAATATTGAATGTAGCTGTTTATTGAATGTAGCTGTGGGTTTGAAATAAAAGTACACATTTGTTATCCATGCACTAACATACACTTTAACCCCTTAAGGAGAGAGCTTCAAAAATGACAACAGCATTATTTTCATTTTTTGTTGTTTGCGTTATACTGCAATTTGCATTTTACTAATTTGTTGCACCAACACATATTATACATCGTTTTTTAAAGGACAGAAAGGGCTTTAATTTGATGTAACACACATATATATAAATGCTTATTTATTATAAAAAAATGAAAATTTTGTGGTTTTTTTTTTTACAGTTTTTGCAATAATAATGTGTCCATAATTAGTGCAGGTTAAGAAAAGTAATTAAAAATAAATTCATTTAGTTGTTCTGATTTACAGAATATATAATGTGTCTGGGATTTAGGTAGTTACAGGTCACAAAGTACAAGGAGTAAAATAGACTTTTAATGTGGAGCGATTTTAGAATTTGGTATGTTTGTCTTGTAAGCTTAATAGCTATAAAAGAAAACAAAATTGCCACACAAAAGTATATATTTATATAAAGTAGACATCACAGGCTATTTACCTAAGGTTGTTGTGACACTTTCTATGTAGCCATTTCACTGCCAACCTCTGCTATATATTGGAGTAAAATTGTGTTTTTTTTTGTTTTTGGCACACAAACTTATAATAAAGAAATTCTCATGTATATTTTGTAAAGTTGGTGTGTGCTATTCCTGTACAAAGTTTTATTTTGTGTTCAGTTACATCTGCTGAGTAAAATGACACCCTAATTGTATGTCTTTGGCACTATTTTGTGAAGCTACAGTGCCATATAGGAGACCAAGCCATATCCGTTTTTACCAAACTTTGAATTTTGACGCTGGGCCCATGTGCAATTTCCAAGCATCTTCGCAGGTTTTAAATTCAAACTACCCCACAAAGGCCTACCATTTCTAAAAGTAGACACCACAGGGTGTTTTAAAAGGTATATTTTGAACCTTAGCGTGGGATCATTTTTCCGTTAGCTTGTTCCAGATGTAGTGGTAAAAAGCGTTTTTTCTGCCTTTTTGACATACAAAGTGAGTTTGCACAGTATATTTTGCAAACCTTATGTGTGCTATGACTATATAATACTTCATATGTTGCTCAGCTATGTCGGCTGAGTACAGCAATACCCCCGTATGTACCTTTGCCAGGTATGTGTGGACATCGGAGGGGCACATTTGGGACACAGCCATTCAGTTGTTTTTTTCAAACTTTGAATTTTTACGCTGTGCCTATGTCCCATTTTAGAGTATTTTACCAGGCTATATAATCCAAATACCCCTTACAGCCATACCATTTCTTAAAGAAGACATCCCAGGGTATTTCAAAAGGCATATTTTGAACCTTAGCGTGGGATCATTTTTCCGCTAGCTTGTACCAAGTGTAGTGGTAATAAGCATTTTTCTGCCTTTTTGACATACAAAGTGAGTTTGCGCAGCATATTTTGCAAACCTTATGTGTGCTATGACTGTATAATACTTCATATGTTGCTCAGCTATGTCAGCTGAGTACAGCAATACCCCTGTATGTACCTTTGCCAGGTATGTGTGGATGTTGAAGGGGCGCATTTGAGACACAGCCATTCAGTTTTTTTCTAACTTTGAAGTTTTACGCTGTGTCCATGTTCCAATTTGGAGTAGTTTAGACGGTAAGTATACAGGAAGGTAAGTATACAGAGCACATGTGCTCGCTCTGACTTGTGGTCAGAGCGAGCACATGTGCTGGGCAGCCTGACCGGGTGCTCCCGGTATGCCTCTAATGCAGAGGCATACCGGAGCACCATTAACCCCGCGATCCGGGGTTAATTTTACAGCGTGACGGACAAGGTCCGTCACACGTCATTAAGGGTCTCCCCTCTGTGACGGACCTCGTCCATCACCCGTCCTGAAGGGGTTAACAGATTACCATATGGATCTCAAATAATATATTGTTTGTTTACATTCAGTATTAGTTCTGTAGAGGCCACTGATGTGGTCCTGGGACTTTTTCTCAACAGATATGAGAAATCCATAGCACACCATGTAGTGAAAAATTGATTTTATTTATACATCCTATAACCCAAGAATGACACATATTAGGTGCATATTACATGTATAAATATATCCCTATGTACATAGAAAAAAAACATATTCAAAAACACATGAATCAAGTTTAAAGTGCATGAATATAAACCCACAGGTATACTGACCAGAGGCTGGAGCCCAAACCCCACCTGGACGCCTTTCTCAAGGGGATCACAGAAAGGACCAGTCTTCTTTTCTAACCCCTAAACTGGGTGTACCATATAGAAATGATTAAAAACAGCTGAGATGGGGAGGGGAAATTAGTTTTTTGCATTTTTCACACACAAATATGAACGCTAACTTTGGCTACTGTTTGTGACTAAGTGGCTACTAAAAAAGATTGGACATACCCCATTTGCAATACCTTGGGTTGTCTTCTTTTGCAAATGGTATGCCATCATGGGGGAAATTCTCATTCCTGGGCTACCATACGGTCTCAAAGGCAATGTAACCAATCTGGCGAATTTCAATGTGAAAAAAATGAAAAATTTAACAGGCTATATTTGACCCTGTAACTTCCCAAAATACCATAAAACCTGTACATAGGGGGTACTGTTTTACACGTGAGATATCGCTGAATACAAATATGTGTATTTTATTGCAGTAAAAGCAAACAGTATTATGACATTCACAGTTAAAACGTCACATAGAACTAAAAAAATTTTTTTTAAAAATCTTATTTTCTCCCATTTTTACAATATTTTATTCATATTAAATTAGGTTTCATAGCTAAATATTTGATGTTAAATAGAAAGCTCTGGTTCCCCTGAATAAAATAATATATAATAAGTGTGGGTGCATTTAACATGAAAGAGGTGAATTACGGTTGGACAGACATATAGTGCAAATGCCAGGTTTTGTTTTGATCACAACGTGGACATTTGGCCCAGTCCTTAAGGGGTTAATATGCAATAACATGTACAAATCTATTGTCTCAACAGAGAAGGCGGTCTTTTTCTCCTATAGGTTTATGATGGTTTTAGAAACAAAACTGAATTAATCAAATTCTCTGTTGCCACAGAGTCAAAGAGGGCTTTAATATGAACAGTGTTGGTACCCCACTGCAAAGAATTTGGGAGAAAAATCATTCTATTTAGAGGTAGATAGGACACGGGTGTCACACCCAAAGCCAGTCCCCTTAGTGACCTGAAGTGCAAGAGTTTTTTGGACACACCAAACACAGAGGTGACTTTTCTTGTCATAGTAAAGGCAAAGACCCTCCTTCATTCTTTTTTGCTTCTCTGCATCAAATAATATGGTTACCCCAAATTGCACTGGTTCTGTGTTGGATGTAACAGGTGGATCAGGATTATTCAACTAAGATACCAAAGCCAAAGTAGGACAGTTAATTTTATTACAGGTATTCTGCCTCTCTCATAACCTATTATCAGAGTTTGCAGGAATCTATGATCCATCCTTTTTTGTCTTAGAGATGAGCATAACCACCTAGCAAAGCTAGTGGGTATGAGGCAACCTCCCGGAGTCAAATGCCAGCAAGAGCTTTTCAGCCAGTCAGGTAATCAGGAAAGTAGTGCTGAGTGCGGGAATCCTGATTACCTCGTGTAAAGGATCACCTGGCACCCCGCCTGGGTACCTTCCATTGACGGATGCTCCTAGTGCTTCCCGAGGGCTCCAAGCACTTCAACAGACACCATAACCACCGCAGACCCCACGAACCGACGCAGCTTGGTTGGGGTCTCGCCGTCTTCCACCCACTCTGGACCCAAGACCAGGATCCAGCTTCCAGTAGGCAGACCTCTCTTAGAATCCAGAGAGCAGAAACAGGAACAAGCTCTTACAAGAGCTTACTCTAGGGAGTATAGTGATTATAGCAATCCCCCAAACATGAGCCAAGACTTCATGAAGGGTAGAACAGGTCTGTTTAATACAAGCCAGCACTCACGATTTATACAATTCCTGAGGCCAGAGGCACACCCCCTTGGGCCTGATGGAACACAGGCACACAAACCAATCAGAACAATACAACAATGTCTGACCCTCCCACATACAGCACACAAGCCCTCCCCTCTGCCTGTGATACAATTAACTAAGACAATGGACTAACTCAGTTAACTCTATGCAGAATTTCTTTTTCTTTTTTTTTTACAAACCCCAAAAAGTACCCCCAAAATACAACATATCCCCACATAGCCCCGATCTGGGTGAACAACATATCCAAAAATCACCCAGTTCTGTTCAGGGGTTCAGGAATTTCCTGGAAGTCTTATTTTTGCCCCACCGTGCACATGGTCCCATGTCCAAAACAGTTCCATACACTTGACGGCAAAACACTGCTGGACAATTTAAGAAGGCCGCCGCCACATGTTTGACTCTGTTCCAGTTAAAAGTCCAAGGGGCAGTAACAGTGCCTTTAAAATCCAATATGCCCAAATAGTGGTTTTAAAGGGCAATATATCCCAGGGGCCATAGTCAAAGGTCAAAAGGCTGGCAAGCAGGCCTCTCCAAGTCCCAGTGATGAAGGTGCTTTCGTCACACCATGGATTTTTAAAAATGGGAAACTGCGAATGCTTAGCTCATCCCACAAAACACTGAGAATATATATTACCCAAAAGGTAGAGTAACTTAAACATCTAAACAAAAACAGAATTCAAGAACCCAATAGTAAAGAAAATAGCCATATGAGATGGACTTGAAAGCTTTTGTATAAAGGACACAGCTAAACGGATAACAAGGCAACAATGTCTAAGCTTAAGAAAGTATCAAATAGACACTGAAACATCAAATTGCAACAAAATGCGTTCTGTAAAGAAAAATGAAATGTAACAAGTCTCTGAAAGCAGATTCTTAATGCAGGGAGCTCATGAAAATTCCATATTGCCGATACTACTAGCATCCAATCTTCATACTTAGGTGGATCCTTGGTTAGTTGGTCTTGTCTTGGAGTGCGGTTATAGTCTGTATAGTCTGTAAAAAACAAAGCAGTTAGAAATAGGCTGAATAACCATTTTATGAAAACAACCATGAAGATAACCTTATGTAAAGAAAAACATTACCACCAGCAGGCAAAACCCTTACACTAGGTGAGGGTGGGACGGACGCTATTACTCAGTGGTTATGCTCATCCCTAAGACAAAGAAAGTTTGAAGATCATAGATTCCTACAAACTCTGATTTGTCCTCCGGGAGGCATAACCACCTAGCAAAGCTAGTGGTTATAGTCAGGGCCAGATTAAGAGCCCAGTGGGCCTGGTGCTGACAATTATGACGGGCCTAATTACAGAATCATATCGACCAAAAACAGTAATACACTCCCAAGCGTCATTTATCTGATGGAGATGGTGCTGGAGAGATAGAAAACAGCAGCTATACGAAAACACATACCCTAGGCTAATCTCTCTCTAATTTATGTTTTCCTCTTTCAAGTAAATCCATAACCCCTAACAGCAGTGTCCAGTCAAGCAGGAAGGTAAAAGGGTGTGCCATGGACACAAATCACGTAACCTGCCAAAAGGGGCGAAACATGCCCAAAAAGAGGACATGTCTGCCCAAAGAATTAGAAGGCCAGCCTGGCATGAATGCATGTCAGGCTACCTGCCAATCATGCAGCTGGCCAACTAAGGGCACACTATGCAGACAGCACCCTGAGCTTGGCATAAATGCATCTAATGATGCGCTCACTCAACGTTTTCTAAGGACTGTCCCCTAGCACTAGCTGGTCCACTTGTCTCCTTACCTTCTTAGTAGCAGGCAGAAGCTCCTGGTATATAGTCTGGGACAGAGAAAAGCTGTATGTAGTGAGTGTAGAAGAAAGGGAACATGTCAGTGTTAGAGAGACCAAAGTCATCATTACCTTAAAGGATCACTAAAGGGTCAGGAACACAAACATGAATTCATGACCCTATAGTGTTAACACCACCATCTAGCCCCCCTGGGACCCTCATGCCTCCATAAACATAGCAAAATCTTACTATATTCAAGCCTGAAGCTGTAACTCTGCATGCTGTTAGACTCATAAAAACAAGCAGTCTGCTGACATCATTGGAAGTGGTGGCCTGATCCAATCACAGTGCTTCCCCATAGGATTGGCTGACACTGACAAAGAGGCAGATCAGGGTCAGAGCCAGCATGATTCAAACACAGCCCTGGCCAATCAACATCTCCTTATAGAGATGAACTGAATTAACGAATCTCTATGAGGAAAGTTCAGTGTCTGCATGCAGAGGGAGGAGACACTGAATGTTTGGATGCATTTTAGGCAGCCATGACCCAGGAAGGATCTCTAACAGCCATCTAAGGAGTGGCCAGTGAAGTTATCACTAGACAGTAATGTAAAGACTGCATTTTCTCTGAAAAGAGTGTTTACAGCAAAAAGCCTGACGGTAATGATTCTACTCACCAGAACAAATTGAATAAGCTGTAGTTGTTCTGGTGACTATAGTGTCCCTTTAACTATATTCATTGTCAGCCAGTCCACACAAGTTTTGTTCCCATACATCCCTCTTAAGTTTCCATACTTAAGTAAGAGTATGTGAAATGTAGTTAGGGTTGCCACCTTTCTTGGAAAAACATACCGGCCTTACTAATTTGCATAATTAAATATGTATGGGTGACATCACATGATGTAAATCACAAGGAGTGACATAAGAGAAAATGCTGTAAAATCACCAAAAACTACTTAGTTTGATTCTGCTGTATAGATGGATTCCTCCCAGTGCCCCCATGTCTCCCAGTGCCCTCATGACTCAGTGCCCCCATGTGTCGATTACTCCAGGTCTCAGTGTTCCTATGTATCAGTGTCTCAGTGCCCCATGTCTCACAGTGTCCCCTAGTGTCATGTCCCCAGGTCTCCCAGTGATCCTATGTATCACAGTGTCTCAATGCCTCATGTCTCCCTGTGTCCCCATGTATCCCAGGATCCCCATGTCACTAGGAAGAGGGGGAGACCTGGGGACACGGTGAGACCTAGGGACACGGAGACACCAGTGACACTGGGAGACTAGGGGACTCTGGCTGGGACACATGGGGACAATGGGAAAATAGGGGACACTTGAAGACATGGGGACACAGACACTAGAGACACTGGCCGGGGGACATGGGGACATTGAGACATGGGGGACTGGGAGACATAGGGACACTGAGACACCAGGGCCACAGACACTAGGGACACTAGCTTGGAGACATGGGGACATTGTGACACTTGAGGCACTGAGAGACATGGAGGCACTAGGAGACATGGGGACAGTGAGCCACTGGCAGACTGGGGGCACTGGGAGACTAGGGGGCACTGTAGACACCAGGGATACTGGCTGGGAGACATGTGTCTGTGTCATAATGTCTCCCAATGTCCCTTAGTGTTTCAGTGTATGTCTCCTTGCAGCCTTTCCCCCATTCCTTACTTCCCTGAGCTGTAGGCTGTCTCTGCAGGGTGGGAGTTGCTGTCTGGACTCTCTGTAGCTGCACCCCTGCAGAGCAGTGAGTATAGATAGGCAGGGAGGGATATGCTGGAACTTCCTATCCCTGCCTGTCTCCAGACACAGTGACCCCTACTGGCCAGTGCTGGTATTGCATAGTAATCTCTTGTTTATACTGAGAAAAATACCAGAATTTGATTGCCAGTATCACTGCAATATTGGAACCAGCAAGGCAGCCTCAAATACTGGCTGTGCCAATAAAATAAAAGCCAGGTGAAATCCCTAAGAGTAGTGTGTGAAAAAAAAAAAATGTTAAAAGCTCCATCAGCCCCTATGTTAATCCGGCCCTGGTTATAGTAACACACCTGGTGGTGGTCCTAAGAAACTGAAGGCATTCAACTTCTGATGGCCTCCAGTAAAATCTAACAACAGTTTTACTGGACAACCACCTTCCAGCTTTCAAGATAATATGGAAGGGAAGGCCCTTTGCTGCTGCTTTAGTAGCCGAGGCGCTGCTAATTGAATGGCCTTTAAAAACAGAAACATCAATACCAGACATGGCGAAGACATGGTGGAAAGTATCTTGGGTGGACGAAAAGGATTCCTTGATGTAATAAATAATTGACTGATATCATTTCTAAACGCAGCAGAAAGGTCAAGGTACATTTGTAACAGACTGACTAAACATAAGCCTGGTTCTGAAGGATCTTGTACCAAAATCCAATTCCACCGGATGTTTTTTGTCTCCCTTTTAGTATAATATTAACCTTCCCGGGTTCCAGGACAACCACAGTTCTGAAATATGGATTTGAGTTAACTCAGCTCCTTTAGCTACCAAGGCCAAAGACAGCAGCAAGCCAACTTAATGGCAGTTTATCTTAAATCAATGTTAGCATTATCCAAAGAATTAAGGAAATTTAATAAGAGGTATACATCCCAAGTATATGTGCGTGGCAGACTGCTAACCCTTTTAGTAATTTCAAATATAGGGCATCCTGAGTTTGGTTAGGGAAATTTAAAGCAGATCCATAGGTCTTGATGGTACGGACCGCTAAACCAGAATGGAACTTAAGGGTAAGAAATTCTAAAGCTAATGGAATGATATCAGATCCCTGAGAAGTAGATAGAAAAGAAACCTCCCATTCTTTGAATTCCTCAATCATCTTTCTATAACTTACCCTAATTCTGCGTCTTAAAGATGAATGTCCAGGACCTGATCCGATAAAAAGGGATGGGTTAACAGCCTACCAGGGCTGCGATCCACATCAGCTGCAGAAGCTTGAGCAAAAGATCGCGGTTTCCCTGAAAGCAGTCCACAGTCATGCCCAATGGGATCTTGGTTCCCTTGACAAGATGATAGATCAAGGGGTACCAAGGTCTAAAGGTCCATACTGGGTAAACAAGAACTAAACTCTGACCCTGTCTCTGTGGATCTTCTCCAGCACTTTCATCAGTAAAGATGGAGGGGGAAAGGCATAAGAGGCTGAAACATCTGTCCATTGGAAAGACAGTGCATCAGTTTTCCAAGCTCCCTTTGTCCAAATCCTGGAGACAAACCTTTGTTTGTTTGTGCAGACGTTTGGTATGCAAACATATCTACTTGTCTCTGGTCAATATTGCTTTCTATCCATTGGAATAGAGCAATATTCAATTGAATCGTTGCCAGAGACAAACTCTGGTGAGAGAGAGAATCTGCAAACTCGTTCGCCTCTCCCGGAACGTATTCTGCGTAAACCCGAACTTTGTTTGCTAAAGCTGAAGATCAGAGATCTAGAGCCTCCAAACAAAGACCCCATGACCTTGTGCCCCCTCTGTGGTTTAAATAAGCCACCCCTGTCCTGTTATCCAATTGGACTATTACCAATGTTGGTAACTGGTTAAGAACTAGGCCCTGAAGAGCTAATTTTATTGCTCTTAACTCTAAGATGTTTATATGAAGGATTCTCTCTTGGTCTGACCAAATTCCTGTTATCGGGTTATGGGCTGTAAACGCACCCCAACCGTGATTTGAGGCATCTGATGTCAGAGTAACTGCAAACGGCTGCTCTAACAGGGGACAATGAAGTGGGAATTCTAACTCCAGAATAGACTTCAACTCTTCTGTGACCTTCTTGGGAGAAAGAATTTTGATTCCTAATGGCCGCCCTGTCTTAATTGATTCCCTAAAAATAGCTGACTGCTTCTGCAAAGTAAAGGGGAATCGTCGTAGGCTAGTGTTAAAGCTATTAATTTCCCGATAATCTTTGCCAGATGTCTCAAGGACCAACTCTGGTGCCTGAGAGAGGACTATCGAAGCTCCAACGAGATTTGTCATTTTTTTCTGGAAGGTGTTTCAGGTGGTCAAACAAAGGAAACACACTTTCCTCTTTTGGGATCCTGTCCCTTTAATTTTTCGCTTACTCAAACAAGTATGAGGGGAAGGAGGAGAGGAAACATTTTCCTCCTCCGACGAACTGGCAGAAGAGACCAACCGCCTTTCTTTATTCTTTTTATGTAAAACTTGGACCATATGTCATGTATCCTTCGTATCCATGTGACAAAAACGTTTTTTAACTTTGGCTTCATTTTGACTTCCCTGACTTCCGGTACCCTTGACATTTGACTTTTCCTTATCGCTGTGTCTCGTTCGGTGTCCCTGACCTCGGCTAGTTTTCTGACTATTCTCGGGTACGTTAAGTCCGGCAATTCTAGGGCCCGGTAAGACGTTACCCTTATTTCTAGGGTGTGATACTATTCTGTGTGCTGGATCAATATAATCCTGACACCATATCCTCCTCAGAAGATAAAGGGGCTCTTATAGAGCTTTCTAACATTGATGGGGCTGCCTCTAAGAGAGGCATACACTAAATCTGTGGCAGACACGGAGTCTGCCATCAATTATGCCATTTAAAAAAAATCTGAGGTAATCAGAATTTCCGCGCTCAGCACGGCTCTCCTGATTACCTGAAACGCTGTTCCTGGGCAGGAGCACAGTGCAAGCAGCTCTTGCATTTGACTTCAGGAAGCTGCTGCATGCCCACTAGTTTTGCTAGGTGGTTATGCCTTCCAGAGGACAAATATGGATCACAAAGACTATGAGATCTTTCAAACTTTAAGGGAGATCCCTAGATGCAACTTCATCTTAGGAAGCAGTTGGCCACTATTGGTCCAAATAACCTCTGATGCCAAGGTGCAGAATTCGAGGGAACAGTCAGCAACAGACCAAAACCAAGGTGTTTTAAAAACCTTATGAAAAGACGTAATTAATTTGTGATTGTTATAGACCATGGGTTATAACTATTCCCCTTTGGGTTTACTTTATCAGATAGGAGATTTGGCTCAGCCAGAAGGAAAAGATTTGGTGGACATCTCAAAACGTATCCCCACCTGGTTAAGGAACCCTATACATGCCTTCAGGTCCCCTTCATATCTGGAAAGAGGGGTTGGATGCACCAATGGACAAGGGGCAAAGGAAGGGTCTACCACAGCTGGCACATGAGAGGAAGTGGCTGTGATTTGACTCTATGGTTACAAACAGGTGGTATGTGCTGAGCGTTTTGGCAGCCTTTGCGAATTTGTCCAAATGGTGATCTAATCACACTCATTAAAATAATGTAGCAGAGAAGGAAGAAAAAAGATCTCCAGGCTAAACGGCATTTAATTGTCATGGATGTAGTGTGATGTGGGGGGGAATTAGTGACTAGGCTTGTGTGTTTTAGGCAGTCTAGTGATTCCCAGCATGGAGGCAACAGATATTTACCCATGAAGGTGTAATGGGAGGCTTACAGGGTTATTCACTGAAGTGAGAATTTAGAGTGGATTTCAAATTGAGAGGGATCCTATAGTGCCAGAAAAACAAAGCAGTTTTCCTGGCACTATACGGTTAATAGGTCCCCCTCTCCCTCGCGCTGGATCCACTTACCTGAATCCAGCGCCGATGTCCCTCAGCGCTGCGTCAGGCTCCGCCCATGCTCATCAGCCGGCAGGGAGACCTAATGCGCATGCGCGGCAATGGCCACGTGCACATTTGACCTCCCCATGGGAAAGCATTATTCAATGCTTTCCTATGGAGAAAATCTGACGCTGGAGGTCCGTGAGGACGTCCAGCGTCAGATAATGGACCAAAAGTCTGTTAGGATTCCGGAAGCACCCCCCCAGTGGCTGTCTGGTAGACAACCACTGGTGGCAGACTTAGAGCTGCAATGTTTTACACTGCAGCACTAAGTGCAAAAGGGTCACAGCACCCAGACTACTTCAATTAGCTTTAGTAGTCTGGGTGCCTTCAGTGTCCCTTTCAGGCAGAAGCCAAAGTAGAAGTATAAAAAGATAATCCATAAAAATTGGGGAAAAAATACTTTAGGGACTGGTCACCGAAGGTGTGTAAAATGCAACCAAATAAAATCTAATGTTATAATAACAATTAAAACATAAAATTAGTTCATAACAATTGATAAATTGCAGTCAATATTGTAAGAAGTCCACAGCCCAAATATAAAAGTCCAAATAACATCAAATATTGAAGTGTGATGTAAAAATATTCATAGCAACATAGTGTGCTGACTGTATATTAATCCTGTTAGAGAACTCAATAATCTGGTACAAGTAAGCTCTGTCTATTTGCAGGGGGTGAGGTATTTTGTCGTATATTGTATTTTAGATAGAAATTGTGAGTAAAAAACTAAATCTGCTCTATACCCTGTTGACAATGCTAGTATATTTATGCCACAGCACCTTCTAATGCACAAATGTATTAGTTGGGTTTGTTCATTGTGGTGAGGTAATTCAGACTATTCTCTCTTTTTCCTTTGCTTTTTGAAGATAAAGAAAATACAACTCCATTTCTTTTGTAATTTAGGACCTCAGTTATTTTGATATTTAGCTGGTAAAATATTTTTTCCAGTGGCTACAATATAAAAATTACTGATCAACCTTTGATTGTCCTTAACCCGAACTAAAAAAGGGGTGCTTTATGTCCTGGAACAATTTAGAATTTGGAGCAGAAAATCGGGATGCATGTTATCTCTGTCAATTTGAGAAGAGTTTGGGTTGGCAATGATTAGTAGTAGTCACCCTTGTTGCAGCAAATGTGTCATTTTAATATGGATAAATTGTTACTCCTCTATTTAGGTGAATCCTGGAGATACTTCTAGTTTATGAGTGCACCAAATAACACTTCATCTTGGTTTCTATTTGCATACCTTTAAAATAAAAGCTATAGTTTAACTTTAATGCTTTTGGTAGGTACACACTCATCGTGTTTGCTATTTTGCTAAAATTTTCCGAGTGTATATAAATAAAATCTGAGCATGTGAAAAAAAAAAAAAAGTCTCTAACAATCCTCAGCACGCATTTTAGTCAGCCCTTTAAAATTCAGCTAGATACAATTCGAAGTTTAGTGAATAGACCCCACCACATGTACCAACAGGGATCACAGAGCCTTCAGTTTACAACAACTATATAATCTGTGTACAACTTGTAGCAAAGTCACCAGGCACAGAAGCACTAGGAAATGTGAATATGCCAAATTACCAAACAACAACACTCCAGCACAGCCTCTCCGCTCTGCCTGTTTATAGAGTCCCTTGACGTCACTAAACATCTTTTTCAAACTTGGCGCCCTCACGCCGCCATCCTCCAATGATTCCAGCGCTTGTCGCCGCCCCTCCGAGCAGTCTCGGCCGTGTTGCTGTCGCCCAGAACTACAAGTCCCATTCCAGCCGCCCGGCTCCGCCTCTCGCTACACATGCGCAGTGGAGGCCCGGTCCGCCATTTTGTGAAGCAGGGGTCTGGAGCGATTAAACGGTGAGCTGGATCTCGTCAAGCGGCTCCGTTCCCGCCTCTCCCAGCTCTTCTCCACGGCATCCATCCAACCTGCCGGAAAAGCAGAAAAAAACCGAGAAAAAGCATCGCAGGAGAGGTAAAGAGAGTGGGAAAGGCAAGTTTTGCAGGAGCTTTCTCCGGCCTCTAGGTGTCACGATGGGGCTCCGGTTCGGGCGGCAGACGGGGATGTTTGTCTCCCTCTATCGTTATTGTAAATTTGGTTAGAAAAAATGTCTGGAAGTCGGGCCCAAGTGTAGCCTCCATAGTACTGACCGTGCCTGTGACATGGATGCTGGTCAGAGAAAGGAGTGCGAGCTCAATCCGGATTCCCCCCGATTTCAATGCAGTTTTAGGCCTTTCCTCCATTTTCTTTTCCACCCGCTCTCCTCATCGCATCCCACTGCGATCGAGTATCTGCGCAACAAAATTATCCCCTCTCTCCAGTAAATCCATCGACTCCGACATGGTACTGGGTCATGAATGATTATTAAAAAACGGGGTACACGGAGATATTATTTCCTAGGGTTCACCTTATTCCCGCTTTTTCCTTCCAACCTTTATGGTTACTTCGTACTATGTAGATCTGTATTCATATATTTACTGAATACAATTACTTTTTCAGAATGGTAGGGATAAAAAAAAAAATATATATGTATTTTTTTTTGGGAAAATGAAAATCACGATGCCTCATATTGATTTTAAATCGAATAAATAAATCATTTTTATTTATTTTTTCGCCCTCATTTTTGTGGGTGGGGGCTTATATAGCCTCTTACATGACGAATATTATGCGAAATGGACTAATAACTGGTTGATATCGGATACGTTGTGATGAATATTCTAATTAGAATGTTGGGTTTTCTTTGAAGCTGTACTCCTGGAACATTACCCAAATCCGTAAATCCATTTGCTCAGGCGAAGTTTAATGATCCAAGATTCCACCGCAGGAGTTGGGTTTAAAAAAAAAAAAATCTTTTTCGTTTTATGTTGTGCAATGGAACAAGTTGTTGATTCGCGTACTGTAGGGTCTCCGCCAGTTTCTTATTGATTGGTCCCCATGGTAAATTAACTCTTTCTACTTCAGACATGCGGAAAGAAGAGACACAGAAGGGTCAGAATTGGTTGGAAGAGCTCCCTCTGTAATCAGGCTGAGTTTATCCTTCCTTTCCTCCTCCCTCTTGGAACTAAGCACCTTTTTAGAAGCTTATATAGATTGTGAAGTTTCTATTTTTTTTACGAGCGATTTCAAACTATTTTGTATGCAGACTGGGTGTTTTGTTTATTTGTGCTGGTGCAGTGGTGATTAATTCGAATAAACCATTATATAACAAGTGATTTATTTCATGGTGCAAATTTTATGACATGCATAATGTCTGCATGCAAGTGGGACTTATTTATGATAGTTTTGAACTTATTCTTGTTTTCAGCATCAAAACATAGTTTTTGTCACAGGCTAGTCTATTTAGCTGAAACATTATACAACTACTTTTTATAGCAGCAAAAAAAAAAAAATCCATCTGAAACTGTAAAACCGTGGGACCATGCCACTTAAACATCCTCTACTGAATGTATCAAAAGTGGATCTTTAATTTTGTAATGCTCACTCTAAGAATGCAAGATTTATTTATATATATATATATATATATATATATATATATATATATATATATATATATATATGTGCACTCACAGGTCTTCAAATGTGGTTCTATTTATTTTACATGCAAAAATACATGTGTGCAAAAATCCAGTAAATCGACGTTTCGACCCCTAAAGGGTCTTTTTCAAAATAAATAGAACCACATTTGAAGACCTGTGAGTGCACCTCTGTTCATTTTTTGTATATACTCAACGCCAAGGTTTGCACCCAGGCTGTATTCATTATATCTTCAATATAGGGTGAGTGCCAAGGTCTCTTTTTATATATATATATATATATATATATATATATATATATATATATATATATATATATATCTCTCTCTCTCTCTCTCTCTCTCTCTCTCTCTCTCTCTCTCTCTCTCTCTCTATATCTATATCTATATAATTTTTTTAATTCTCCTTACTGACTACTTTTACTTTAGTAGTGGGACCTGCTTCTTTACAAAGCAATAACTTTTTTGAGACACACTTAGGGCACCAACAACACTTATGTAGCTTTTAGGGCTAAACAACTGGTTATACTTGTGCATACTCTATTTTGTGTAGATTTGGCTAAATACAGCAATCCAAAATGTTTCTTGGTAGTTCCTATACCTATGTGATGTGACAACTCTCACCCACATTGTCCCTCTTTATTATGCAGTCTTAAGTAACCAACTACCGTATATACTCATCTATAAGTCAATCTCGTGTATAACTCAAGTGCAGTTTTTTGACCAACAATTGTCAAATATGCTATGACACGTAGATAAGTCAAGGGTACGTTATTTAATGGAATTGTTTGGTTACTGAACAGACTCTGTGTGGTTCCCCTTGTTAACACCTCGTAATCACCGACTACCCCGGCTGTTAACCACTGTTGTCTCCCAAACGCAGGCAGCGGTATTGATCTCTAAGACGGCTACATGAACCCTGCTGAAACTTGTACCCCTGCCCGTTCAACTTCCCGACCAGCTAGGAGAACGGTGTTCGGGAATCGAATGCAGTGCAATGTCGACTCCCGAACGTCGTACAAAATTCTATCGAAACTAGAACTGCCCTGTGGATAAGTCGACTCTGCGTTTCAAATTAAGTTTAAGACTAAAATTTCTCGACATATGCACTAGTATATACGGGATGTGCTGTCAAGCCACCTCAGCAAAGATATTTAGGAGATATAGTTGAGCTGACACTGTTCATAAGTAGAAAACTGATAAACTGAATGAAAAGTCCTGAAAGCTTTAAACAGAGCAATTTTTGCTTTGAAATCTACTAGTCAGCCCATCACACTATGCATGCATGAGTTTGGCAGATTTATTGGTGATTAAATTATATGCAAGTTATCTGGTGTAGGCAAATGACTGTCACATTTTTAAGCTTTTCAAATAGTTAAAAAGCTATTTTGCAATGTGCTCTTCAATCCCTGCAGTTCAGGTTTAATATGTCGTTGCTCTCCAGATAGGGTAAGCTATTTCCTTGAGTGAGCAAAGTTCCAGATAGGTGGTGATATGTTAAGGTATCTGCACTAAAAGCAAACCTTCACTCCAAGCAACATAACTACTACAGTCTTGATGCCCTCCTAGAGTACGTAAACAGTTTAAGAATGTTTTGACAAATTACCTGGGTCCCACCGCCACCTCCTCAGCAAGGAGCTTGCAGGTAGCTCCATTGCGATAAGCCAGTCAGTGCAGGACTGGGCTTGTGGGCCGAGAGCATGCCTTTCTCATATCTGTGACAGAAACTTTCAGTGGCAGAATTTATGCAAGTGTTCAAAAAATTTTTAATTATATGTCCACATACTCTGGGAGGGTGCAAGAGCCTTCGTGGCACAACACCCACGACAGTGGGCTGTTGTGGTTATTATGTGTGAAGTGTGTGTGTGTGTCTTTTAAAATGTGACTAAGCATCAAACTCTGATTTTCTGACTGATTTGTTGTATTGTGCTTCCAGCACATATTCAGGAGAGAGACAATCTCTTGACTGCAGCTTTGCTAATTACGGCAATCGGTCTGGTTCACGTAAAGGAACACTATATTATAGTGTTGGGAATACAAATATGCCATAGAGATTAATGAACTCCATTAATCCGATGCTATCCCTAGTGGGAAGAGGCTCAACGCCTCTCCGAAACCACCCTCTTAAAGTCTAAGATGGTAGTGGTTTTTCGATTGTAAGTCTTACATTTACTTTCTTACTTGGTATCCTGAGTGACAGTGTGGAGTTGGGGGAATCTTCACACTGATCAGTTGAAGGAGCAACAACTGCAGTAATACATCACCTGTAATACATCACCATCAGGCTCACCTACCTCAGTTTCGAATGCATATCGATGAGTATTTTTGTTAGTGTCTCTATTATGGACTTCATCTTCCGTGGTACTCACCAAGTCTCAACACTGAACAGGAAATGTAGTCCAGTACTACCACAGTGTTAAAGGAATGTTCAACGTCTCCATGCATGTCGTGGAGATGCTGAATGGCAGTGCAGCACTGACACAGGAAGCACCTCTAATGGTCTTTGAGTGACTGCTACTGAAGGTGTCCCTAGGCACTAATGTAATAACTGTCTTTTCTTTAAAAAGGCAATGCTTACATTAAAAAGCCTACAGGGACATACTGCTGCCTAGTAACAGTCACTCAGATGGCCAGTAGAGTCCTTGGTCTGCACAGTGTGCAGCACCTACTTTCATAGTGTCCACGCTCTGTATAGAGGCGCTGAATGTTCCCCATAGAGATGCATTGTTTGTGTGAAAATTTAATAAAAATACAAATGTTGGAACTCGTGAAAAATTGGTGCTACTATCACTTGTGTGGATCACTCAACACACACATAAAGTGCAACAAAGTGAAAATGCGAAAAGTGGTGAGAGCATTCAGTAAATATAAATATTACCAATATTGGCATAGATACTTTCCTAAAAATAAGAATAAAAGACCATAGGGTAATATAGTTTACACATATAAAGAAACCTATATTTTTGGTCCAACTCACATGGTTCTGAGTCACTTAAAAAGCTGACTCAAACTAGAGGTATAAAGCTTAGATAAATCGCTGGTATACTAGACTCCTGTAGTAGTCAGGATAGATCCTGTTCGTATTAGTAGTGGTTTCCTCCCCAAAAATGCAGGATCAGGGTAAAAGCACTTGTTTATTTAAACATAAATAAAACAAATTAATAGTAGATACAGAGTAAGTCCATATATCTTGCCACTCGACGTGTTTCGGCACAGTTCCTTCTTCAGAAGTGGAAATGCTGATAGGCACGTTGTTTTGCTGCGCATGCGCAATATTCTCACTTAGCTAAAATCATTATGACTGACCAGCCATGGTGAAATGGGCACGGCGTGGCAAAAAGGTGGATTAAAAATAACTTAATCATGCAATTGGAGGAGGGCAGATACCTAAACACACACATTGGCACACACACTGACCGAGGCACACACTAAATATATATATATTCTATACATACACACACACACACACAAACAAACTGAGATTTTTATTTTAATTGAAATCCACTCATCCTCCCTACCATTGGGAGAGCTGAGTGGATCTTTCTCTGGTGTCCAGTGGGGCTGCTCTCTCTTACTGCGTGCGATGGGGCAGTAATCGACCTGCAGCTCCTCTCTGCTCCTTCATACTCTCTGTAGTGATGCTGGGGCCGCAGTGATGTTATATTCTGGCTCCAGGCATCATTAAACAGTGAGGGAGCAGAGAGGAACTGCAGGTATATTAATGTTCCTGTGGGCGGACGCCTTAAAGGGATAACATCCCAGGTGCAAGGGCAAAATTTCTAGTCACCATGGCAACCGGACACCGGGATTTGTTGAACCCTGGACTATAGTATCCCTTTTAAAGAAATATAAACTTTGTTTTTTAATATATTTTTTTTTTTGTGGTGTGGCTTCTCTGAGATAAAGGGTGCACAGTTAGCTTAAATCTTTCCTAGCTTTGGGGGAGTAAAAACATTCATGTTTTGTTTCTTGATGTTTAAAGAATTAATCAGTGGTAAAAGGTGGATACACTTTTTTTTTTTTTACCACGTTATTTTCATAAAACAATGTGCTTTGAGGTGAACCATTTAAACATTGAAATGGGCAGAATTCGGGATACCTGGGTTTTTGGGGTTGTTTATTTATATACAAAAACCCAGGTAGCTAGAATTCAATGTTTAAATTGTTCACCACAAAGCACCTTATTTCATGAAAATAAGGTAATGAGTGTTGACCACCTTTTTATATAGGGAGGAAGCTAAAATAAAACTTGCCCAAAGCACTTTTTAAAATGGAATTATATTTTATTGCTTTAACCCAGGCGCTCGACAAATCCCAGGTTGCCATTGTGACAGAACTTTGTCCTGCCGCCTGCGATTGATCGGACCAATCCCTCCTCCTCTCTTACTCCCTATATAATACTATAAGTACTGACCAGTCTAACTGCTATAAAAAAGTGGATATAACACTTTAAAATCATTTTTATCTCTGTGAGCAATATATTGGTTTTTTTTTTTCTCCTCATTTCATCCATACCATTGAAGAGACTAAAACAATCATCCCTAAGGCAAGGATTGTAACGACTGATTCTTTGACCTTATAATGATTACTCCTTTCTAGTGAGTACAATATTTTTTATTTCACTCATTTCATACTGGAAATATTACACTAATTGACTTTCTATTCTTGCATATTCATCATAAAAAACCTCATACAGTACCTAAACCTATCGGTGGAGATCATACGCTGTTGTGACTGGAGCTTGTTTGAAGCTTCTTACTATGTGAGTGTGGAGATTTGCACATAAGTGTTATGACGTAAAAATAGACCGTTTTTTATTTTTTTAATGCACCCACAAATAAAGAATTGTACACTAAAGAAAGCAAATTAATTCGGTTGCTGCCTAAAATCATGAACTCTCCTATATTAAAGGATCACTATAGGGTCTGGAACACAAACATGTATTCCTGACCCTATAGTGCAAAACCCACCATTTAGGTGGCTTGCCCCCTTCCTCCCCCTTACCCTCTCTATAAAAGTTTAAAACTCACCTTATTTCCAGCACAGCTCGGGTCTTCCCCCTTTGTGACAATCGGCACGGGGCGGGGCCAAATGACGTTTTTTGGCCAATTGGGACCTCCTGAATCAGTGCATCTCTGTGAGGAAAATTCAGCGTCTCCATGCAGAGCGTGGGAACGCTAAACGACAAGACTGCTTACTGTGCAGGAGTGGCCACTTGAGGTGTCCATAGGGGCAATGTAAACACTGCCTTTTTTCTGAAAAGGCAGTGTTTGCATGGAAATGCCTGAAGGTTGTTCTGGTGACTATAGTGTCCCTTTAAAGTATTTCTTCTACTATTAGATGCTACCTGCTTCTTCTTCTCATGGGTGTATCATGTTTTAACTTTTCAAGGGTTTGAGGGAAATATCTTGTGTTCAGTGTTCGCTTCCAAAAGTAATCAGGTGATTGGTCTATTAGTGCTTGTTCATCCTTGTGTGTATTGCTTTCCCAGGTCACTTCCGCATTCAAACGAGTCTTGAAGTTAAAAGCAGTAACCAATCCCTACACTCATTAAAAATTAAATAACCCCTTCAAAAAACAAAAAATCTTCACCATTGTGTTTTGCAGTCATAATTGGATCCAAAACCCTTGACAGACTCCTCAATGCAGCTTGATATGCCATTTCTAAAGTTGTAAAGATTGATAACTTTTTTGTCCGATCAATTGCTTCTTGTAGGGGCACTTGTCATTTGCTGCAGTTCTATGAGAATTAAATCTAATGTTTGTCATGGCATACTAACATTCTGGCTTTGAACGCAAAGTATTTGACTTGTTCAAACTATTTTAGCCCAACGTGCCTAGTGGCTCTAGAGACATTGAGATTTTAAAATCTAAACTTTCTCAGAAACCGCATTGTTTTTAATTTGCAGTGCTACAAGGGCAGTATCTTTGCCCGAAGATCATTTAATTAAGTGGGCACACAAGACACCTATATAATAATGCATTTCATAGGATTTGATCTCATTAAAGGGATACTATAGTCGCCCAAACAACTTTTAGCCGTTTTAGTGTATAGATTCTGCCCCTGCAGTCTCACTGCTCAATTCTCTGCCATTTGGTAGTTAAATCACTTTTTGTTTCTGGCAGAGTGTTCTGCTGGAGATATAGACCACAAGCTCTTTTGTGCTAGCCTTCTCTAATCTACCCAGCGGACCCATTTTGGTCTGGTAGTCTATCATGTCATAGATTTATAACTCGTTTTATCTTAGAATAACAGATGTGAGTGGGGATATCCCATGCAAATGGTTGGCGACCAGGTGTTGTGGCACCTTATGTCAAAGAGTGGTTTGTTTTGTATTGACCTTTTAAAGAGACATGTATCACTTTTGAGTTTATTTTTTTTAACAAGTATACCAAACAAAATAAAGCAAGAAAAACTTTGAAAACTGTGTAATAAACTTACTATAAACTTGGTCAGATTGCATTATTGGGCACAGTTGTCTCAAATTGATGAATGTCCCTTTAATCTTGGTGTCATGGAGCCATGGTTTTATAGGAACCGCTAGCTTATTTTCCAAATCATACTATTCATGGATGACAGTGTTCAAAACTAGATGTAATGGCACGATGCTATGAGTTACACGTGCTTTGATTTGTTGCACCAAAACTGGACATAAACAGACTTCTCATGGGTGTATCATAAATGAGCTTTGTTGCATTGAGAACTATATACATGGTTTAGCTCACATGCAATACTGTACAGACAGGCCAAACACTGGTTAAAAAATAAATAAATAACAATTGCTTAAAAGTAGCAGTCATGGGTAACTCATTCTAAAAGAGTTATTCACTAAAGTGTGAATTTAGTTTGAGCATTTATTTTTTTAAGGATGGAAGAAAAAAAAAGTACATGATGAAGGATTTAACTTTATCTCTGTTTATGGGGATATCAAAGCATGTGGGTATTCATCCTAAAATATTCTGATATACCATCGATGTCATACTTTATGAAACCTTTTGGTTTTATCAGTGTTTCTCATGGTTTGAAAATATTTGTTTATGCATTTGCAGTGTGACCATTTGCATGATGAAATTAATATGTGTATATAAGCTGTCACTTTCAATGATTAAATATATAAGTTGTTAAATGCTGCAATAGTTTTAAAGCGTGTCCTACTTATATTGACTTCTGGGACACATTTTATACATTGTATAAATCTTGGATATACTGAAACATTCAAACCAAAATTCTAGGTTAAAAACGACAAACATTTAAAAAAAAAATGACACTTTCAAAGTGCTAACTCTACCCTGTAAATTCCAGGACAACAGTGCTTTATAGAAATGCCAAAGGTTTCTGGAAGCTGTAGTACAGAATAATTTTTTTTTTTTTGTTTTATTTGCTATTCCAGGTTATTAGGTAAGACTGTAATGTATATTTCTGCTTTTATTAGGTGAGAATGGAAAGCGAAATGGCAGATGCCATTATGGAGGATTCAGAGACCTTCATGAAGAGGAAAGAAACCAAAACCTATCAGAGACGTCGTGAGGGTGGGGCTGATGATGATGGCTGTGTTATAGTCCAAGCACAAGCAGATGTAAGTGAAGTACCCCATGATGTTAACAGCAATGTTCAGATGGTGATGATGGAACAGCTTGACCCCACCCTCTTGCAAATGAAAACAGAGGTAATGGAAGGCGTGATTCCTCAAGAAGGAGATGGTACCGTGGATGACACACAGATTATAACATTGCAGGTTGTAAATATGGAGGAACAGCCTATTAACTTGGGCGAGCTTCAGCTTGTCCAGGTGCCAGTAGCTGTTCCTGTAGGCACTGCAGGTGAACTTCATACAGCTTATGAGAATGAAGTCTCTAAAGAAGGTCTTCAGGAAGGAGAGCCAATGATTTGTCACACATTGCCTCTTCCAGAGGGTTTCCAAGTTGTTAAAGTTGGTGCAAATGGAGAAGTGGAAACACTTGAACAAACAGAGCTACATCCTCAAGATGACCCTGGCTGGCAGAAGGATCCTGATTACGTGCCCCCTGTTAAAAAGACAAAGAAAACCAAGAAGAGTAAACTCCGCTATACAGAAGAAGGGAAAGATGTTGATGTGTCAGTTTATGATTTTGAAGAAGAGCAACAGGAAGGTCTACTTTCTGATGTGAATGCAGAAAAAGTAGTTGGAAATATGAAGCCTCCAAAACCAACAAAAATTAAGAAGAAAGGTACGTTCGTAAAGTGTATCTGCTTTCTAAACTGTCAGGGCTTTTCATAAACCGTTAAATATATGTCTTAGTTAGAGGCAGTAACTATGTAAGTAGATGTTCAACTTCAGTAAGGTGTACTCATTGTACAGTAAGAGATGTCAATACCATTTCTTTGTCACTTTAAACTAGATTTATTTAGAGTGGTTATTTGTTCCTAGTTTTGAACCCAAAAGTGTATCCCCTCTTCAATTTAGTGGACCTTGCCTAGTAGTAACAGACCTATATTTATAAGGTCTCCAACTGCCCACACTATTTACTGTAATGCTACTGCCTTTTACAGCACAATGTGTTAACTTTATCTTGTCTCCTCCTCTATTGAACATTAATCACACACAGGAGTCAGCTGCAGGGAATTAACAGCACTATATAAGAACTGATGCATTATACACACTGCAATAAGGGAAGTACATAGTGAAGCCGTGTGTGTCACAGCCAGGGGATGACGGGACGAGTGGCTAAGGCTGCAAAAGCAAAGTGATTTAACTCCTAAATGGCAGTGAAATTTCAAGAGAACGATCTGTAAACCAACACCATTTGTTTGAGCCTAGAGCAGGATTGCCCCTAAAAGGTAGATCTCCAGATGTTGTAGAACTACAACTCCTTTGCTTTGCATGGCTTTACAATAACAAAGTCTCATGAAAGCTGTAGTTTTAAAACATCTGGGGATCTGCCTTTTGGGCACCACTGAATATCCCTTTAAATCTCTACTTGATAAAAGTTATGAGACTGAGGTCATGTAGTTGTATGTGTAGATACTACTTGTTTATTTTTGCCTATTAATTATTTATATGGTGGGGTGTGTGTGTTTGTTTGTGTTTAAAAATGGCACAAACCAATTGTAGTTTCTAAAATGTGTGCAAATTGTTCACTCCTGTTTTGCTTGTTTGTTTGCATAGGTGTAAAGAAAACATTCCAGTGTGAGCTGTGTAGTTACACCTGCCCCAGACGTTCTAACTTGGACCGCCATATGAAAAGCCACACTGACGAACGACCACATAAATGTCATCTCTGTGGAAGGGCTTTTCGAACAGTTACTTTGCTTAGGAACCATCTAAATACCCACACAGGTCAGTTTTATACATGTGTTTTATTCTTCTCCACCTCCACCATCCGGTTCATTTGTAAAACATAAACCGCTTTTCATCAGCCAACTTGTAAATACACAACCTGGCCAGTAGTATGTGGACACCTGATAACTATATGAGCTTGCTGGAGTTTCCATTCCAGTATGGAGTTGCCATCCCCTATGCAGTTTTGACAGCAACCACTCTTCTGGGAAGACTTTACACAAGATTTAAGATTGGGTGTCTTCATGACCTTCTGTCTGTGCACAGAGGTATAACTGTAGGAAAGGGCCTTCCCCAATTGTTTTCTCAAAGTTTTTAAAGTACCCAATTGTTTTGTAATATTCTAGCATAAAAATAACTATTCACTGAAACTAAAGGCTTGACCCAAAAGCAGAATTATCTCTCCTGCAGAAAACGTTACAGTAGGCACTATATATCACAGTAGGCAGCACATTCTCCTGGTCATAGTGCATGGAATCTGTATGTGCAGTGTTTGTCTATGAAAGACACATACATGCTTTAAGTCTTCTGCTGGCAGTCATGTGAAGTCTGTGTATATTTGATGTATAAAGTCAGCATTCACACACAGTCTATTGCATTTAAGATTTTTAGAGGTACAATGACACCAAGTGTCCACCGATTCATAATAAGAGACAGGGTCTCTCCGAGCTGATTGTGACCAATTGCACAGCACAGTTCACAATCGGCTGGGAAGTCATGCTTAATTCACTATTACAGAAAAATGTGATGGCGACAACATTCCACTATGTTTTCGCTTGGAAACCTATGTGCTGGAAGTAGAGTTAATGCTGGATTTGGGTTAGGGATAGCCCATGGCAGGGGTAGGCAATCTTCAACACTCCAAATGTGGAATACATCTCCCCTGATGCTTTACCACCAGTATTATGGCTGTAATCGCATTACAGGAGATGTAGCTCACAACTTCTGGTGTCCCTAGGGGTAAGGGTATCCTAAATTAAAGAGGAATCCTAAATTAAGGTGGAAAACACTAAACAAATTCTAGGTTTTGTTTTTACTCAGATCTTGGACTGTTGCAGGTTAAACATGTTGCTTCACTTTATACAGGAACTAGGCCACACAAATGTCCTGATTGTGACATGGCCTTTGTAACCAGTGGGGAGTTGGTGAGACATCGTCGTTATAAACATACACATGAGAAACCTTTTAAGTGCTCGATGTGTGATTATGCTAGTGTTGAGGTAAGAAACGTTTGCCACTGAAAATTGTTTGTATATGTTGTTTTATTATCAAACTGCAAATTTATGTAAATTGTGCAACTACATTTTTAAAGGCACCATTGTGCAATTAAATTTTTAAAGGCTCCAAGCACCATAACCACTACATACTGTTGAAGTAGCTATGCTGCCAGGAATGTCCTTGCTCTTCCCTAGAGTAATTTGTTAGAATGGTTTGGCAATTTACCTGGATCCTGCCTGGTGCCTTTTGCAGAAGAATCCAGTTGAGGTAAACAGGGCTGTTAATGAAGGTTGAGATCATTAGCTGAGTTCTGTCCTGTGTCAGACCTATTTCAGCTGAATGAAAAAGACACATACATTCTGCAGAAGAAGCCAGGTCGGGTTATAGGTGCCTGGGGAACTCAAGTAAGTAGAATAGTTTTACAAGTTGTTACTTTGTGATTGGGACATGACACTGACATCATAACCATTACAGCTTGCTCCAGTTGTTCTGGCCCATGATAAGTGTTTTTTGTGTGTGATAATTCTAGGTACTATTTCATTATTTTTCTTTTTTAACCTACAAGGGGAAAAAAGGGCCATTTTTTTTGTGGTGTAATTCATAAAAGTCTTCATGTTGAATCCTGACTTGATTAGTTTTCACCAGGCAGAGGGAAGGCTTAATCTAATCCTTGACTGTCAGTGATCTGATTCTGATGACATGCAGTGCATTTTCAGTTTAGAGTGCTGTATATTTCTCTTTTTCAAATTTCCAGTGACACCATAACGAACTGATCTGAAAGGAGTCCTTCATAAATTTTAACTAGTTATGAGAATTTGCCTTATTTTCTGTAGAGACCTGGGTGTTGTATGGCAGTAGTTATTAGGGGTTTCAATTGGACACTTTTTTTTTTTTTTTTTTTGCTTGCCAAATGTGGACATTTAAATATTTCTAAATCGGCTCAAAAAGTTTAGATACTCATGTAGCCATTTGTGCTAAACTGGATGTGTTCCTATTTTTGGAATAGTCTGGATAAATTAAGTGTGTGGTAAATTTAGAGAATAGTAAATAATAGCTTACTATTCTGCAATTTATCCTTTATTTCCTGGATACCTACCAAATGTTCGTATTTTATGTGGTATGGTTAAGTCTTCTTTAAATTTAATTATTGCTTTAATTAAAGACTTGACTCTGTCTAATATGACTTCCTTTTAATTTTAGGTCAGCAAATTGAAGCGCCACATTCGTTCCCACACTGGGGAGCGACCTTTCCAATGCAGCTTGTGCAGCTATGCTAGCAGGGATACTTACAAACTTAAGAGACACATGCGAACCCACTCTGGTAAGTAATATAAATTCATTTTTTCTAGATGCAACACCCAAAATTTATTTTCAGTGTGTTTGTGGTCTCTCCTCCGCATTGTTAAATTTGTCCAGTGTGTGTGTGTGTGTGTGTAGGAATAGCTGCAGCCATGCACATACCTTGTGGGCAACTTGCCAAAACTTTGAACCCTTGATACAAACAGCAAGAGTATGGATGCTTCCAGCTAAATGAGCAATTACACTCTCTTAATGAGTACTGCTGCAGTATAAACTACTTATTCACATTCCTGAGCAAGTATTTAATATGAGATTTGGCTCTAAAGAGCAGAACTGGAAACTGGTATTTCCTGGTCAAGGAGGATTCTGCTGACAACACTTGCTGTTGCAAGCACAACAATGTTATGGTGTTTTTTTTGTGTGCATGTGTATGCTTCTACCTGTTCTGTTTTTAAATGGCTTTCAAATGTTTGGCATGCACCATTTTATAGAGATCATGGCTAATAAATAAATAGTTAGTGGGGAATTTTTTTTTTTTTTTTTTATTTATTTTTTTTTGTTCCCCCTCTAACCACCTAATATCAGTGACACCTGCTCTGTCAGAATTTATTTCCTAATGCTTTCTCAAGCAGAAAAGGTATTAATGCGAACAGTTTTGTTTTTTCAGGTGAAAAGCCATATGAATGCTACATCTGTCATGCTCGCTTTACCCAGAGTGGTACCATGAAAATGCACATTTTACAGAAGCACACTGAAAATGTGGCAAAATTTCATTGTCCTCACTGTGACACAGTTATTGCAAGAAAGAGTGACTTGGGTGAGTATTTGTGGCATCACTTTTCTTTGTAAAATTTAAATGTCTCTACTGTTAACAAATCCATGCTAACGAAATTTAAAAAACACATTTTAATACACTTTCTGTGATATTTTGACACAATTTATAAATCGCTTTAATAATATAATGTGTATATACAAATTATATAATGGCTTTTTATAATATATTGTGGGTCATGGTTTTAACTATAACTTCCTTTTTTAAATCAGGGGTCCATTTGCGAAAACAGCACTCCTATATTGAACAGGGAAAGAAATGTCGCTACTGTGATACTGTGTTCCATGAGCGTTATGCTCTGATCCAACATCAGAAGTCTCATAAAAATGAAAAGAGATTTAAATGTGATCAATGCGAATATGCTTGTAGACAGGTAAGAGGATTATTGAATGGTTAATTTTGTGCTGATTTGTATATAACTAGTACTTGTACAATTGACTTAATGGAGTCATGTTTCTAAACATGTTAATACATATTTCTTGCGTCCCTTTACAAGCTAAAGATTGTCTCTTGATTAAATTTTTTTGCTTTTCAGTATTGTTACTAAATTAGAACTTTCATTTCCATATTTTACACTAGTCTTGTTTTTCCTTTTTCTTCAGGAGCGCCATATGATAATGCACAAACGGACCCATACTGGTGAGAAACCCTATGCCTGCAGCCATTGTGATAAAACCTTCCGCCAGAAACAGCTTTTGGACATGCATTTCAAAAGATACCATGATCCCAGCTTTGTCCCTGCAGCTTTTGTTTGTTCTAAGTGTGGGAAAACATTTACTCGCAGGGTAAGGATGTCTCAGTGTAGTCCCAATATTGGCACATGAATGTGTCTGAAATGAAAGTACTGTTCTCTATGAAATAATTTGCTTACCCATGGCTAGTTAGTTTCACACTTTTTTTATCTGTAATATTTGAATTTAAACTAGAAATGTTATTTGCAGTTAGTTGACTTTGCTTTTGAACAATTTTACTTTAAAAAATAAAATAAAATTATTGCTCTAAACTTTAAAAAAAGGGGGAGGGGGGGTTTGAAATGTTTTAAAACCCATTCTTCCAAGCTCTAGCACCCTGAACCACTTTCGAGAGCAAGTGGCGAGACACAGGGATCTGTACATTTGAAAGGTTCTCGTGAACTGTGTATTTTAACTGGAGTATGTACCTGACCGTAAAAAGGCACACTATGCACCATAATAATTTTAATGTGATTTCAGTTAGCGTGCTCAGCTGTCCCTTCACTTTTTTTCCCAAAACAAAGTTGTTTGTCCAGTACAAAACTTTTTTTTTTTTTTTTTAAATAATGCTTGTTATTGCATACCCAACAGAATACAATGTCTCGACATGCTGATAATTGCACTGGACCTGATGGTACAGATGGTGAAAATGGAGGGGATGGTGAAATTATTCACAAGAAAGTGAAGCGTGGACGTAAAAGAAAAATGCGTTCTAAGAAAGAAGGCTCCACAGATAGTGGTAAGAGTTTGAGTGACTGCAGATTTATTAGAAATAAAGTTCTTTGAAATTATTTTACAAATAAGACTTCTCAGGGGATATAACATTAATAAATATATACAGGGTCAGCCCAACTGGTAATTTGTTCATCAATAAGGCTATGCAAAGTACAGTACAGGAGGCAAGAAAATGTTGCCATCAGTAGAAGAAACATAAAATTGTGGGTCTAACGAAAGTCATTTTCATCAGATTCTATACAGACTTATAAACATATAATTGCATTATTGGAAAACCAGAATATTTAAAGTTATAATAGAATGAGGGGTAACCGCTTAATGATCAAAGGCTAAGTCTGTGTTATTCTGGTGTCCATAAGGATTTGTCCCATTTTGTAGCAAAATTGAAAATGTCTGCGTATTTTACTATGTTTAAACATAGAATATAATCTCTAGTAAAATACTTGTTATGCTAATTTAAAGGTTTGCTGTATATTTGTATTTCAGACAGACCTATGCAGTCAGTAAATTTAGTTATCATCTTGGACTGCCTGGCTCCTGAAATTATGCATAACTATAAAATTTGTATTGGCTAATATCTCCACATTTACTTTTGGTTGAAAGTATGTTAATGTGCAAGATGCTTGCTGGCATGCAAACTCTGACTGCATCATCTACTCTTGGTGCTTACTAGACTTTTTTTTTTTTTTATAAATCTTTATTTTCATGCGATAAAAGGACAGACATGTTAATATTGCCGCAATCCATATGTACATGGCTCACAGGAACATGCTACATTAAATATACTGTTAAGATACATTTCGCATTTTTTATTTTTTTATTTTTTTAAGTTATATTGGGCTGGGATGTTGTAACGTGGGCCTTAACTGTGGAAGTTTTGGGTGAGTGTTCACTCGACTATGTGTGCCAGCGCAGTTACCTTGAAGCCATCTAGCGTGTGGGGCATGCAGTATTCGATAAGCTTTTGTTTGTGGGAGACAAATCCCCATCTGATCTCTGGTATCTGTTTGGTTATGGTACTCCATATGGTGTTCAGGGCTAGAGCCGTGTTTGGTGTGTGGGGAGTCGTGGCACTCCCTTCAGCGGCATCCTATATGGTTTTAGGTTATGTCTATTATACCTTCCTTCATACGCTGCATGGCTCTTGCCTGGACTGGAGGTGCGCTGTGTGGCTTAGCTAAGTATAGTGATGAAGGTGGCTGTGTGTAAGCATGCTGTAATAAATGTTTGAGTCTAGTGGGTGTCTAGGTGGGTGGGAGCTGTATGGAAGCCTATCTGCGCCCAGAGGGCAAAGAACCCACGGCGTGAGAGGAGGAAGAAAGCGTTAGACTATGTGTGAGTGTAAGGCTCCCGTGCTGGTAGTACCCTATTACCCCAGGGCGGGGGGGGGGGAGGGAGGGAGTTGTCGCCAGAGCCGGCTGGTGGGGCCTCCAATAGGTCGCTATCCCACTATAACAGAAAGAGGTGAACCAGTAATACTAACGCTTGTAAGCGTAACTAAACATTTTAGTAAGAGAGTCTCAGTAAAAGTCCAAAAGTCCCAGACCGAGCGCGTCGTTTCAGGACTTGGTGTCTCCATGGGGTCTGGGTGTAGCCGTTGTTGTTGCTTCAACCCTCCTGGGTCGGTGGCCTGGCAGTGGCATTGAAGTTGTCGGCAGAGTTGGGAGTCCCAATGTCGCCATTAGAGCTGGGCCCTCAGAGGGATCCGTGGCCTTGTAATGTTTGTTGTCTTTGGTAACCCATAGGGTCCCCGGAGTCGACCACTTGTAGGTAATGCCTGCTGCGTGGAGTGGTTTAGTAAGTGGTTGCATTTGTTTGCGCCATAGTAGTGTGGCTCTGCTCAGGTCTTGAAAAAAGGATAATCGGCAATCCTCAAATTCCATAGGAGTCTTTCCCTGGAGCGCTGCTAAAAGTCCCAATTTGTCTGACATAGACTGGCACCGTAATATGATGTCTCGCGGTGCTGCGCTGGGTGCCTGCGGGGATTTCGCAATTCTGTAGACTCCGTCGAATAAGAAGGTTTTGGCTTGTCTGGTTGGAAGTAGTGCAGCTACGAGGCGTCTGATGAAATGTGGTAGTTCCTCCAGTGGGATGGATTCCTGCACCCCTCTGATTTTGACGTTTTTGCGTCTCCCCCTGTCGTCCAGTAGGTTGACTTGTCTGGAGAGGGCAGTCTGTGTGGTGGTTAGTTTTTGTACTTTCTCCCCCAGCTCTTGTAGGCCTTGTTTCAGGGTTTCCACTTCATTCTCTGTAGCTTGTGTACGTAGTGTCACAGCATTTACATCCCCTTTTAGCACTGCCAGGTCAGCCTCCCACATTTGCCTGAGGTTTTGTTGCAGGCTTGTCAGCATGGCCTGGATATCACTCCTGGATGCTGGGGCATTATCCTCCATTACCCGTGGGGGAGCTGCATGACATGGAGTGAGTGGGCTATCAGGTGGTTCTCCTTCCTCTGAGGGCAGTGGAGAGGAGTCCCGATGGGACGTGGTCTGCGCTGCACTTGGGGCCTGCAACATCTGGCCTATGTCGCGCTGGGGCCTTGGGGTATGTGTGGGTGGTTTCTGAGACTTGCGCCCCATCTCACCTGTGTGTGGCAGGCTGTGGTACCAGTCTTCCAGAGCAGGTGAGCCCCAGGGCCAGATTCCCTCCTCTGAGTCTCTCTGCCGTCCGCCCGCGTGGTAGGCCTTACCGCCTCTGCGTCGTGTTTTGGAGCCGGGCGCAAGAAAAAACGGCATCGGCGGCTTCGGCTGGCTGTCCTGGTTTTAGACCCAGCGTCTGTGACCTAGGTCGGTATCGGGTGCTCCCAAATCGGCTGGATTATGAGTATCCAAGCGGGAGCTCCACTATTGTGCGTCCGCTCGGTTCCGTTGTCAGGCTCCGCCCTCGGTGCTTACTAGACTTGTGCACAAATCTTGTTCAGCTATGGTGAACCAATCAAATGCCTGTTAAAGGGACACTATAGTCACCTGAACAACTTTAGCTTAATGAAGCAGTTTTGGTGTATAGAACATGCCCCTGCAGCCTCACTGCTCAATCCTCTGCAATTTAGGAGTTAAATCCCTTTGTTTATGAACACTAGTCACACCTCCCTGCATGTGACTTGCACAGCCTTCCATAAACACTCCCTGTAAGGAGAGCCCTATTTATGCTTTCTTTATTGCAAGTTCTGTTTAATTAAGATGTTCTTATCCCCTGCTATGTTAATAGCTTGCTAGACCCTGCAAGAGCCTCCTGAATGTGATTAAAGTTCAATTTAGAGATTGAGATACAATTATTTAAGGTAAATTACATCTGTTTGAAAGTGAAACCAGTTTTTTTTTTTTTTTCATGCAGGCTCTGTCATAGCCAGGGGAGGTGTGGCTAGGGCTGCATAAACAGAAACAAAGTGATTTAACTCCCCATATGACAGTGAATTGAGCAGTGAAATTGCAGGGGAATGATCTTTACACTAAAACTGCTTTATTTAGGTGACTATAGTGTTCCTTTAATCATTGGACTAACTGGTCCACTCACATGGAAAATCATATGTGTTTCAAAGCTGCGTATCCAGCAAACACAGACTCTAAGGAATCCATGTTTAAAATGGAAAGAGGCAAACATTTGATTCTTTGTAAACTAATTTGCATATACCCACCCAGAATCCTAGCAACATCACTGCAAATTTGTGATTTCTGTGGGAAAAGCAAGTCTTATGGCTTGACTGGTGTGCAGATTTTTGCTTAACATTGTATTGACTATCCACAGACTTAAGGTGGATTCAGCATATCCACTTCTTTACAATGCTTCAAATACGTATAACCAATGTCCACAAATCCTGTTCAGGTGCATTGAACACCTGTTTTTCGCTAGATCAACTAATCTGTGTTTTTGATTTGCAATATGAGTGGACCAGTTAGTCCAATGATTAACAGGCATTTGATTGGTTCACTATAGCTGAAATGGAAAGAGGCAAAAATGTGATTCCTTGTTGAACTCATTTGCAGTAGTAACATCAGTGCAAATTTGTGGAAGGGGTTTTCAATCACAATTTTCCCTCACCATAACTTTTGGGTTTGTGTGTGTGTATATGTATATATGTGTTTGTATATACATTCACACAATATAAATTATATAAGATATATTTTTTTTGTTGTTGTTATGACTTTGATTTAACTTTATGCTGACAACCCCAAATACAGTAGTATATTGATGGAATTTAATTTTCATGATAATGTATTTTAATCCCCCTTCCCATAATTTTCAGAGGACAATGCTGAACCGGAACTTGATGATGATGAGGATGACGATGAAGATGAAGATGAGGATGAGACACCAGTAGAGATAGAAGCAGAAAATGAACCAGAACCACCTCTGTCTCCTGTCCCTCCTCCTGCAAAAAGACGCCGTGGAAGGCCGTCTGGCAAAGCTAATCAAGCTAAACAAAGTACGTTTCTATTTTTTCACACAACACTGTGGTTCCAACATTAAAAGGGAAAGTCACCTCTGCACTCCTTGTGCTTATTATGCCTTGAGTCTATAGAGAAGTGTCATGTAAGTACATGGAACACTTGTGCATTCCTGCTATAGTGCTGTAGGCATGATCAGCCTGTACCAGGACACCCAGACATTTTATAAAACACATAAAATAACATTGTCTATAATTTATATTTCATTTTATAAGCAGCCATATTTACAGTTGGTTTAAATTTCCCTTTTTATTTCCTCCCCTCCAGCTGCAGCTCTAATTCAGGTAGAGGATCAGAGCACAGGACAAATTGAGAGCATCATTGTCCAAGTGAAGAAGGAGTCAGACCTTGAGTCAGAGGTTGTGGTGGGAGCTTCTGTCCCACACCCTACTGTGGAAGCTCCTAATGGTGACCTCACACCAGAGATGATTTTGAGCATGATGGACCGGTGATGCAGGACAGACCCGCAGCTTGCTGATTGAACTGGCCTGGGCTGTGTTTAAATGGCTCATTTCTATTTTATCGGATTTGTTTTTCTTTTTGTTGCTTTGCAAAGTTTATTCAAAATTTCTTTTTTTTTTTTTTTTTTAAAGACCTGTTTTACCATTTCCACACCAGACTAAAACCATTGAAGAAAGTGGCAAGATAATACTTGCTGAATTTGATCAACAGATTTCACATTGGCCAATCAAACATCAATGGAAACTTTCATGTTCTCTGTTTTAGTGGTGTATTACAAGATAAGTGAGACTTATTGTACGATGACGATTCAGCGATGTAATCTAAATTAAGGTTTCATTTTTTTTTTTTTTTACTCACTACAGAGACTGCACATTAATCTTGTTACTCAGTTTTTGTTCCTATAGATTATGATAGGCAGTTTAAAAAAAAAATAATAATCACAAGATGCAAAAGTGAATGAGCTACCATTAAAACAAATGTACCATTTGCCTATTGTACTTGCTGTATGTTTGTATACTACTTAAGATGTACCCTTTTTTTATTGTTGCAAATTATGATAGGGTGTGAGATTTAAACTATTTTGACTTTGTTCCCAGGTAGACAAAATCTGATTGCAAAAGAACTTTGATGTCCACTATTTAGCATGCTTTAAGGCGCCCTCCTTTTATTTTCCTTTTTTGTGAGAAACCTGAAACTCTGTAAATAACTTTTTTACATTTTAATCTTTTTCTACATTTGAATAACTATAGATGGATGAGGTAAGAAGTAATTTTATTGGCTGGTATAATGGGAAGAAAAATATTTACTTAAATACATTGGGCACAAAATGTAGAATTTTTTTTTATTTTTTTTTTAATCTTCTTTTGCCCCTTTTTGTTTGTCTTAATGGATGTTCATTTGTTTTTAACTTCCCATGCGTATTAGTGTGTAGTTGAAGTGTCAAGTGAGAGAGAAATTGCAATTAATAACAGGCAATTGGATAGGTATTGCTCCAACTGACCTATTCCTTTTAACATTGCTCCGATACTATAAAGTTTCCTTTTAATCTAAAAATAAAACAAACATAGGATTGATGCACAAAATGTGAACACCTGTATATTACATCATGGTTTTTTTGTTTTCCCTTCCTTTCTAACTTATAAATATTTTTTTCCACTGTGTACTGCTTTTTAAGAGCAATCATTGACAGTCTAAGGATAGAGCAAATCATTTTTGTAATTTTTTTTTTTTAACTCGCTGTCCTGTGAGATTTGTTGTTTTAGGAAGCCAAAATGGGGGGAAAAAAATGTAAAAAATTTGTGATGGGAAAACGATGAAGAGGATTTTGCGAATGTAACACTGTACAGCTAATAAATGAATTAATGTATGCTTTTCATGGTTTTTGATTATGGTGTTCCAGACACCACCTAGGATTAAATGTAATTTTTTTTTTTTTGGTCTGTATAAAGATTCGGAATATAATTATTTTAAAACTTTGTATTATGTATAAGTATGGAATGAGTAAGAGGGGAATCATGTTTTAAGCAAAGGTTTTTGTTTGTTTTTGTTTTTTAAACTCCTAAATGCGTAGTTTACCCTAGAATCAGTTTTTCAGAATTTTTTGTTTTTTTTTGTTTTTTTTTCCTGTGTATTTAGGCACTCAAATTACAGATCTTGGTTAATTTAAAACTGAACAGACTGATAATCTGTGCTCTTAAGGTTGTACAGAAGAATAAAACAGAGCCTGTGGAAGACACTTTGTAATGTACAGCATCATTTCTTAAGTCTGGTTTTAAGTCTCTGTAAATGACGAAGTTAACTGTTTATTTTATTTTTTATTTATAGACTTACAAAATTGTCTTCCTTGATTTTCAATAATCTAATTTTAAAAAAATTAGTGTCCCAAATGCCCCAGACGCAAATAAAATATTAGACAATTTGAGCAGTTCAAGCTGTAGCAATCTGTGCTTAAAGTATGCAGTATCAAATTCTCTGTTCACAGCAAGGAAAAGGGTGATCAGCAATCTGAGTGGTTTGAGGAAGTAACAACAAAAGGTGACATTCATGTGTCTGTGGCAAATAATAGAGCTGACGATTGAAGTCTGGCAGGTTTTATTTTTTTATTTTATTTTATAAAAGGCAAACCTTTCTCAGGGCTGTGATCTCCAAATGCCATAAGGACTTTATAAAGATCCCAAGTAGCAGAGATCTGTAACTTTAATTGGTGATCTTGGCCAAACCACAAGATGTTGCCTGACGGTCTTGTTTGTAACTCAATGAACATAATAAAAGCTATTTTATACAAAGTGTTTTGAGAACTTAATATGTGGCTTTATGTTCTTGATAAGAATTTTTTTTTGTTTTTGTTTACAGAAGAGAGACATTATTAACAAAGTACAACTGTGTAAAGCCACAAATCATTATTCGATAAATCGGCAATAGTAGAGGCATGGCTCATTTTCTATTAGCCATTCAGAAGTGGTGAGTAATTAAGTCCTGGCTAGCAGTGTAGGACTTGAACATTTGAAGAGCTCTATTCAATAAGATATTCAAACACTTTAAGGAAACCTAACCATGCTGACCTATCACTGGTATGGAAAACGAAAAGAAAATGGCCAAGATAGCATGGTGATTTCATTATAAGTTTAGTTTTGTCTGACCCTGTATATGCCGAGACAGCAGTGAAATCGCAGTCAGTGGTCTAGGGTGAGGATACTTATGGTAAGTATACAGTTTGGAAATTGCATTACAGACTCACTAAAACAAATCATAACAGAGAGACAATTCCCTCTAACACAGTGATCCTCAAGGCACCCCTACCAGTCCAGCACTTGGGTATTACCAAATTAACCATTGCTCAAATAATAAATATATATATATATATATATATATATATATATATATATTTTTTTTTTATTAAAAACCATGACTCTAAAGCAACACATTAGCCAGTGGTTCCTAAACCAGTCATGGCCCACCAACACTCCAGGATTTATGGAATTCCCTGTTTTATTCCAATGGAGATACTAACAAAACCTGGACTGTTGGTGGATCTTGAGGACTGGTTTGGGAAACGCTGCACTAGACGGAAAGCATTTCATTATTTGTGTCTGAAATCTGTAATTTTTGCCACAGTTCATAGAAGAAGTTGGCATTTCTACAACCAGGGGCAGCAACTCCTCCTTGGCTATCACTAACGGAAGTGGCAGGTGTGCTGGGCTACAGCCTTTTCCCCTTCATAATGAGCTTCACTACAGTTCATTTCGAAGCATTGGAAAGCTGTGTATGTGCCTGCTGTTCCAGCATAGAGGCTTCTCAGTGAGACAGCCGTTAAAAAAAATAAAAAAATCTGACAAGGTGCCAATCACTGGAATCCAATTACTGTCTGAAATTTCAAATTGCTGCCATGTTGGATAAGCCAGGAAAATGTTACACATGGACAGGAATATTGTAGCTGCGGTATAATTGCTTGTATTGGACTCTATGAATTAGGTCCAGAGCTGTTTCATATATATCACACTGCTCTTCAATCCATCCATATGCTGGGGTCAGCCTTGTAGTATTTCCTTAGTGTAGTAATCCAAGGTAATAAGGCCTGTTGCGGAAGTAAGATGCATGTAGATGTTATAGAGTCTGATAATGAGAAATGCCAGGAAAGATGGCTTGAAATGAAGTGTATAAGAGGACGATCTCCCCATAATATGATCTGTTGACAAAATGCATTTGATCTCTCTTTGTGTTTCATAGTTTGAAAATCCGTACCTTCTGCTGCTCTCAGATGGAATCAATTTAGAATCCAAGGAATTCTATTGTCAATATGGGGATAGGTTTGCCTGGGTGACCACTGGTTTCAGGAACGTCATAAGTCACAAGAGTGTGGACAAAACAGGAGAAACGGGAAATGCTACTTTGTCACCATTCACATGAACTGGACTGAGTTTTGATGGTCCAGGCAAATTCTGAGATCTGACCATTCAGTCTGGCAGGAGAAGGTTTCCATCTTGAAATATCGAACACGAGAGTTGTGATGCCTCAGATTGATCCAAGAAGGTAGCACTTCTGTCTCTTGGGAACCTGAAAAAGATCAGAGGAAACAAAGAGTCTTTCATTGTGACTGGTCTTTCTTGGGAAAAACCATTCCTAGAGGAGGAAACGTGTGTGGGAAGAAACAAGAATCTTGCACGGATAGCATTGGGCCCTTTTTGAGATCCCATATAAGAGAAGAAATTAGTGGCATTTGTCAAGAAACTTACACTGGTGAAACTTTTTAACCCATTTCCCCCACATTCTGCCTCTGCTTAATGTGCCACTGTAGAGCCTGCTCTCCTGTCAGAATTCCAGAGGGTTGCCTGGTTGCTTCACTTGCCTGAATCACATTGATTTATTTTGTTTTATTTTATTTTTTTTGTGGGGCACCTGTGGTTAACACATGTGCTGAATACTTCCAAGAGCCAAACGTGTACAGGACCTCCCTATTTAAGGAGGGCTCTCTGGCTGGTTTTGGTCTTTTTTTGTGGTTTCTGAGCCTTTAAGTGCATTTGTTCTGTATTGAGTTCCTGTTTTAGACCTAACTTATTCTTTAACTATTCTTGATCTCCTGTATTTGTGTATCAGACCTAGCTTGTATGACTACTATGTTTGTGAACCAGAACTGACTTGTCCATTGCCCTATTCCAGTCTATAATCCTGACCGCGTGGCCTCACAGTCTCCTCCTCCTTGCCGCCACTGTTTGGTGACTTTATTCATTTGCCATTATAATTATGTTTTCCTTGTATATAGTGTCAGTACTGTATAACTTCCTAGAGTGGAGGTAAAATCTCTACAATAGTTTAAATAATTCACCAAATTCATGCCTACTTGCATATAAAATGCCCAGTCCTCCAAACCTCACCAGTGCTTCTTGGTTGGACATCGTTGGTGAGACACAGAGGTTGGTGTCTGCGGGAACGCGACATGAAAGCTACCCGACAGGAGAGCTAAATGTCACAGCTTCCATACTGCAACATTGCAGAATGCAGGTTGGAAGCGTATTTCTACGGGAAGAGGAGGTCCCAAGCAGCCCTCAAATCAAATTGCAGGTCTTCCGCACAGTAGTGGAACGCCAACCCTTATCTACTTGAGAAAGCCCATATAGGGTGAAATGCGTCGATATTTTTTATTGTTTCTCACTGTGATGGAGCTCCTGGAGTACCTTTGCCCAGCCAGCTTCCTAGCTGTAACCGAAAAACCTGGAGCCCTTCTGCCCCAGTCAACGCAGCTTGACTGAGGTCCTTCTGAAGCTTTTATACCCGACCAGGTTGCAGCTCTCCTTCCAAGCAGGTATCGTCCCCTCTGTCTATTCCGCTGCAGGGATTGTCTCCTCTGCAGCTTTCCGTCCAGGGACGTATCTCTACAAAGGCACTTGCAGCTCTCAGGCCTTGTTCTCTTGATTTTTCCCAGGGCTAGAGGGATTGTGAAGCCAGCCAACAGGTCCTAAGATTCTGTCACTCTGATCTCTAAAAATCCACACAGGACTCCCAGTTACAAATGGAACTAACATGCAATGCTTTACTTGAGACTAGCTAATATGATCATTACATTTGTATGCTGTGACAAACATAATAAAATTGAAATAATCAAAACATTTCACAAAATATGCAGGAAATTCTAATAGCATAATAACATATTTATAAAGGGCTGGAGAAGACCATAACCAGCGCACAATATCTCTCCTGCCTGCGGAATTAGCAATATGCAAATCTACCTGAATATGCAAATTAACCAGCCTTGCTATGCAAGTAGTGCATATTGCTGCTGCTACCAGCTGAGTTCCCTAAACAGGCTCCATAGCCAAATACACCTAGTTAGTAGCAATCCTCAACAGGACAGGCGAGCAGACAAAGCATATAACAAGAAAACAATAATACACACCTTGCCCCTATAATGGATACAGGATGACTTAGACATAGGCGTGTCTGTATTTCATACATAGTGTCTGTGTGACAGAACCATCTGTCTGCTGGATTTTTGCCCGTTCGTCTGTTTGTCCCCGTTCGTATGAATGGCTGGTTTCTACAGCCCAGCCATTCGAATGACTCTTTTTCCCGAACAAAACCGCCGAACGAACGGCCACCCAAGTGAGGAGTGTGCTGCAGGTTAACGAAGTGATCACCATTATAACGTTGTGGTTAACCGCAGACACTTCTCAATTAAACCGAACTCAGGGTGGTCGTCGTTCGTATGTCGACCACGAGGCAGCGGCCATTTTAAATCATGCGAACGCTCAGCGGTGTTTGGCTCTATTTCTATGGAACGGAAAACGGACACTTTTTCTGTCGAACACCGCTGAAACAAGGGAACGCCTGGCTGCCTCCACGAAAGCATGCGAACATCGGCCGTTCGGGAGATTGAGAACACACAAAAGACTTAACCCAGATAGCCCACCCATGGAGTCATTCGTGTACCGAAGGACTGTAAGAACTTTGACTCCATGGCGATTGAACTATGTGTGTGGGATCTGAGCGCTATTCGCCAATAATATGCACTCAGATCCAGGCTATCTGGGGACATGTAATACGAATGGGAAATGTTCAGTCTTCATGTAGTTATGCATTTTTGTGTCTTTTATTATTTCATGTTTAAGATGGCGACTGTCCTTGTCCTGGAGTTAATTGAGTTACTTGGTAATTAACTCCAGGACAGAGGGGAGGGAATCAGAATGTACTGTGGGTAAAATATGTGACTGTGTGTCAGAAATGTCCTGCTATCTGTCTGTACTTTAAGTCTTCCATTTGGTCCCCTAGGGGAGTGTCCACCAGGTGGGAGACCTGCATAAATACGGGCAGGTAGCCCACAGTAAACCCAGATCTTATTTGACCCTCAATGCGGAGCTTCTGTCTCGTTATTGGGGGGATTTCTTCTTCACGTTTAGAGACTGCTGGATGGAACGAAAGCCGCTTTGGGGATATTATTGTTCGACGGTTCCTAGCAGTTCGTATATTGCCGTTCGGGAGTTTGGAGCCGTTCGTGGATTTCGATCGGGAGATTGCCGCTTCCCCTGCATTTGGTTCGTGGGTTACAGAGTAAGCGAACAGAGACTGTACTGCAGCCGGGGAAGGTTTACTAAACGGCGGTTTGGCTTAAAGACACGGGAGGTGTCTTAACAATTGGTGGCAAGCGACGGGATGAATCCTACAGCACTGGAGGTCAGCTACAAGAGATGCAGTACGAGGAATTAAGGCGTGCTACACTTAAGGACATATTGGAACGCCGAGGAAGGTCAGCAAGCAATTTAAAGAAACGGGAGATTATTGCTTTGCTAATGGAGATGGATGCAGCAACGGGAATGGAAAGAGTCAACGTGCCCAGTACCTTGGATTTAACACCCGAGGAAATACAATTCAACCGGGCAGTACAAATAAGGCTGGCACATTTTGGCCCCAACCCCTCAGCTGACATCGTGGTTCGTGTGCAGGCAGCAGTTGCAACACAACAGGCAGCCCGGGAAAGAGGAGCTGCAGCAGCAGAGGTACCGTATGACAATAATGTGGTTGCTAGAAAAAAGGTACCTTTTGCTGCGTTTAAAAATTTTGTGGAAACAGAGGGAGAGATTGATGGATTTTTGGCAGACTTTGAGAGGCAGTGTGCGCTACATCAGGTACCTGCAGATGAATGGGTCACCATCCTCTCTGGGAAATTATCTGGCCGGGCTAGTGAAGCTTTTCGGGCCATCCCAGAGGAGGAGATCACCAGCTACCGGGCTGTGAAAGAGGCGCTCCTAGCCAGGTATGCAGTGACCCCAGAGGCGTACAGGCGGAGGTTTAGAGAAACCAACAAGCTGGTTGGGGACTCTTATGTGGAATGGGCCTGCAGAGTCCATCGTACCGCAGCCCACTGGATGGCTGGATGCCAAGCGGTAACTGGGGAGGAGGTGTTACAAGTGTTCCTGCTGGAGCACTGCTTTGATAGACTACCTGCTGGGGTCCGGGAATGGGTCAGAGACAGAAAACCCTCTACCCTACCCGAGGCTGCCCGTCTGGCAGACGAATACACGGATGCCCGCAAGTTGGATGGTACAGCTGCTAAAGCCCCTGCCAGACTGGAATATCGACCAGCAGTAACACCCGCTCCTGCAGTCTACCAACCCCCAGTACACCGTACCCCAGCCGCACCACCAGCTAACAATTATATGCAACCAGCCCGATTTAATGCCCGGGAGTACTCCCAACCCATCCGGTGCTATGGATGCAAGCAGTTGGGGCACAAGCGTCCTGAGTGCCCCCTGAACAGTGCCAACCAGGCTCAGTCCTGGAGGAGACCAGTTAACGGAAACCAGCGCCCACCTCAGCCTGCTGCTCACTGCCTAGAGCAGGAGGAATTTTGGGGCATTCTGCACGAGGCAGACCCAGTGCAAGCGGCTCACCAGGATAATCGCCAGCAACATCGGCAAACTGTGAAGCTAAATGGCAGAGTGGTGAATGGGCTGAGAGACACAGGAGCCACGATGACACTGCTCCAAAAGAACTTGGTCTCAGAGCATCAACACACTGGAGACACTGTGGCAGTAAGGGTAGCAGGGGGTGCCGTGTTTCGCTTACCTGTTGCCCGAGTACATTTGGATTGGGGAGTGGGCGCTAGGCATGTGGATGTGGGGGTGATGAAGGACTTGCCCGCAGATGTTCTTTTGGGAAACGATTTGGCCCCTTTGGTTTCAGCCTATGCTCCGATGGGCCCTGCAGACGTG